TTTTTATTTTTCCTTATTTATTACCGTCTAGCGCATTCTAAGCTTAGTCAATCAGAATTCAGCGCGCGACTTAAGCGAGCCAATAGCATTTCGTTATTTGCATAGATCATGAACGCGTGATACATGGAAAATTTCGACTTCCAAATGTTTGGGGGAATAAAAATAAACTTTTACCTGTTTAATTCGGGCATTTTTTTCAACTGTTCAGTTATAGATACTCAGTGTGACGTCAAATGTGGCAGGCGGCTCGTGGACACTTTTTGTTCTTACCACATATGACATTATGACGTTATACTGTGTGTCTTGAACAGATAACGGTTAAATATATTCTATTTGTTAAATAGTATGACATCATAATGTGGGAAGAATAAAAAAGTGACTCACTCGCCGCCGCAGCTCGTGCGCAATTTTTTCGTTCTTCCCGCATTATGACGTCGTACTGGTATCCGGTATCAATAGGGAGTTTACGAATGTAAGACGGCGACGTCGACGTCAGGACGACAGCTAAACAAACTCTTTGAAGTAAATGATTGTATGAAAATCTTGTCTTGTATTTACTTTTGTATGAATTTAAAGTAGTTTCGAACGAGTAAAACAGAGTTTTAACCCTCCGAGCAATGTATATCAACCGTGCTAGAAAAACTACCTGTCATGGCAAGCAATGATAGCGTAAATTGCGTAATGTACAGGACGTAATAATATACGTTTTGCCGTTGTCAGCAGAGCTTGGACGACGTCTAAAACCCCTACTAAACTTTTAATTATTCATTTCTTTTGTACTATAGGATTAATGTCATTGTATTGATGGCCGTCTCATATTCGTAAACTCCTTTATAACTGAACAGACAATGGCAAAATCTTATCTATTTGTAACTACATATACATTAATTAAGCAGTAGATCAATACTTGACGAACTGTGTTTAATATCGGGTAATAATGCATTGACTTGTATTTCCAATTTTTTCACTAAAAAAACGTCATGGGGGATTATTGCAACTCACGAAATTTCATGACTATCAAATCTCGAATGTTGAGCAAACAACATGATACTCGAGTATGGATACTGTGTACGCTTTTAAATTGTTTGTTGAAGCTGTAGATTAGTCAAGACGTTGATATTTCCGGTTAGCGTTTGCATGATTGGCCGTGTGGTACTATCAATGTTTCCTGAAATGACGAAAAAAAGGCGACAAATTTATAACTGTGAAACGAAACCGAGCACTTAAAGTTTAAGGCCTGATTCCACGAGGCGAAATTTTTCGACCGAAACGAAATTTCTCTTTGTCTTTTTACAATTAGTTCTGCTCGAGAGCTCTTGAAACAAGAGAAATTTCGATTCGGTCGAAAAATTTCGCCTAGTGGAAAACCGCCTTTAGGTTTACAAGAAATGGAAAACAGAACGAACGTTTAACTTGCTTTTCTTGACGTCCTATTGTTTATAAGTGCTAATCCAGTTTTTCGAAAGAAAACGCATAAACTTCAAATTTTAAATTACAAGGACAATCATCAGTAACAACACAAAATTGGTTTTAGAAAAGTTTTGTTCTAACGGGTTGACACGCGTTGCAAATTACGAGACATTTTTCTAGTTAACTTTAACTCTGACACCAATTCAAAATCTAACCTTGATCCCAATCCTACTCCAAAATTAACCCATTCAGGCCATTCTGAATGCAAATGTACATTCAAAGTTAGACACCCCCTCCCGTTCCTTATGCTTAATTGTTTGAGCATATTGGCCCATGACACTGCACGCATGTCTGAATGCGCTGATGTTACCGTGTCGTATAACATGCGCTTGGTGAGACTAACAAACTGATGCCTATAAATACGGTGGTCATCAAATTTTCACACGTGTGAAAAGTTGTACTGATCATGATGAGGCGCAGAACGCTGAAGCATGCATGTTTGATGATCATACTATATTATATAATTTTGTGTTCTTGAATAATTATTTTTCAATACGCATTGCGTGGTACTAAATTGATACGAACTATTTAGGCAAATTATTTCGCTAGTGATTGTGTTCTACTACGTCAGGCTGTAATATAGTATTGATATCAAATGTCACGACACAATACACATTCACTCTGAAATTTATAATGGTAGTACAAGAAGAAAAGATTATTGTTGCTTTGTCTGTAACGAAGTTGCCTTAATAACCTTGATTGAAACAAAGCGTCGACCTTGGAAAACATTTCTTTTAGTTCTGTGTTGTCATGATCATAAAGTATACTGAAAAAACTTACAGTTATGTATGGTGAAACCATAAAACATGCGTATATGATTAGATCTGCTACGAAAACGGTTATAGAAGTTTAAAGTTGAGTTTGTTGTGTGACAAATGGGCAATTGTCCTTCCCCGCGTCTCTGAGGAAGTTCAACTTACGATCTTTATAATGAGTTATTAAATTATTAAACCCATGCAATGGCGCGTTTTAGTCTAATTGTGACTATAATAATGTATAACCCTGTGCGCAGCGGCTATTATCGTTCTGGCTTTAATGCGTTCACTTTTAGTACATATTTCTGCAAACACACTAGCTATTGGCCCCGGCTAAAATAATCCTGCATACGATCCATCGTTATGTACAGGATGGAAGCTTATATGCTTATTCTATGTTTAATGACGTATTTGTAACAAAATTAAACTGATATTGGACTGATGTGCGCTGGCATTAGGCATTCAATTGACAGCAGGCGCCGTGACGCATGTTCTGTGAAGTTTTTTCGGATGTAGAGTGCAATTGCCATCCTCAAGTAACTTAAGTACTCTTGACATTATAAAGAGAGGAATGCTTTCTGCCATGCTTGGGCATTCTTTTAGTAGGTATATTTGTGAATACCCTCATGAAAAATGCATAAATTGAGTTAATATAAACGAGTGATAAATCCCTTCAGAGACAAAAGCTATTCAGACCTGTGCCAAAGTGTATCAGTCATATTACAGACAAGAACATCATACTAAAGGTAGGCAACTGAAATATTTGCAGAAATTCTTGCAAATTGTACTTAATTCAATGGAATATGGTAAATATGTTTCCTTTCAAATAAAATAACACATTATGTGTACAAGCAATTTGTTGCCATTGAAGTCTGGGGCATGTTCTCAATTGTTTGATATGACATTTTGGCTTACAAAAAAATAATGAATACAACTAATTATTGGAGGATCCAAAGAAATTAATATATAAAAGAATATAATTTTTATGAATATAGATTTTTATTTTGTAGGCTAATAAACCTTTTTTATACATTCTGCGACCCCTCGTTCTATACCTGATATAATTGCTTTTGTTTCGGGGCTCCGTTTTTTATTTAGAATTTTACTGTTTGTATAAGAGAATGCACGCCCGAAGGGTATAAGATTTTACACTCCCTCTGTAGAAATCAGCCTCGGTTGACAGGGTAATTAGCGTGGGTAAATAACGATTTTCTATCTAATGTGTCACTCTAAAACCTGAGAGGGGCAAGTTCATTGGAAATACGCTCAGAGTTACTTACGCTACATATTTGAGAAACCTTCAATCTATGAAATGGTTGACTGGGTGATTGTGGGCCAAAACCACACAGATATATTTAGCTGAGCTGAGCAAATTGAAATTAACGGATCGGGCATTACATTACTTTAATTACGGCGGAACAAGAGCAATGTGTGTCAGGCGGTTTATGAATCCTAACTATATTATTCCGTTCATATCCTTGAATGAACATCCATTTCGTCTTTCAAACGCATTCTTTTTCCAAACTTGAATCGACTTTTGATGTAAATCAAATGCAAATTATCGTTCTTATAATCCAAGTTGTTGCTCTTGATGTGTGTATTGACGCACACGTCATTTTGGTATTTGTTCAAATGTATCTGTTCATGCATGGGCCGGTTGTATAAAACCTGGTTAAGGTGGCTTGATACACTTTTCAAAAATTCAGATGTTCAACATTTTGACATGTTCAAAGTTCGCATTTTTAGGATTTAATCTGCAGATATTGTTTTTTTATATATTTTGATATCTGTACTTTCAAATTATATCAGTTTTAGTAGCAGATTCGCCGCTGCTATGACTTCATACGTGTACGAAATTCACTCCAAACTGAATTCTGTAATGCTATTTTTTTTGAAAATGCGAAAATGTCGTACTCTTCAGTAAAATGTTTTTGGAATTAAAAAGTTTTTTCTAAATTTTGTACAATGAAAGTTTTTTAGCGGTGCAATACAGCATGCAAAATTTGAACATAGGTCACCAGACAAAACGAATTGTTTTTCTAAAAAATTCTAATGACGACACTAATTAACATAAAACGCTACAGAACACGCGCATGCAATGGCGTGAGATGGCGCGAGCAACTGCTCACGTCAGGTCATTATGGAAGTTCTTTCATTTTGTTAATCAGTTTGCGCGACTTGCTTGTAAAAATGATTACCCGGTTTTATTCGTGATTCTAGAGCAGAGTTTTGGTGATAACTATATCAAGTCTCCTTAAAGTTAGCTGCAGTTAGCGTTATATCTACAGTAGTTGAAACCTTAACTGAAGTTAATAGTTTACTACATGACTTAATTGCGTTGAACAAAACGCAAGTTAGACGTATATAGTAACCTGCGAGGCGGGCTATGGTTTAGGGGAAGGAAGATCCTGCAGTCGCTTCTAATAGCAGGGATCTCGACTTTGCCGAGTAACTCACCTTGCCTGGCAACCCGCCTCCATAAACAGGCCATAAGGGCCAATCCACACCATGCAATGCTTTCTTGCCTCAATGAAAGTTTAAATATATTTATGAACGACGTTTTCGACACACAAGTTCTATAAACAGCATTCAAGTAACAAATTACAATTACATAAACGACACACTTCGTTGGAATCAACTTTTTTTTTGCTTTCAAGATGCATTCGCTGATGATTACCATCCCTGTATATATTTAAATTTGCAACATATACAGTACAGCTCGCAATATATTAAAATCGACATATATCGCAAGGCACGTGCGTGATTGACATTTCGCAGGAAGTAAACAACAAATTTCTGCTCTGATAATATTATGATTGGTAAATCTATAGAGCGAATTTTAATTTATTATATAAGAGGCGGCACAAAAATTTATGAAAAGCGACTGCAAGTTCTTCCTTACCCTCACCAGAGCCTGCCTCGCAGGCTAGTCGTATAGTTGACTAATCACGTAGTGTGACTAATAACGGTATACGTGTTGTGTTTAAAAACAAAATTCCATAAAATAGTGATTGATGAAAAAGCCGCTGATAAGCATTTTGAGCATGGTTGTGGACTCGGATTATGCAAATAGGCCGAAATATGATTGAAAATGTTGAAAGATAAAAAAAGTTAAAATTAAAGAAGACATTTTTTCAGCGAGATGGCTACGTTAAACCAAAACGTAGCTTTTGGCAATTATACAGGGTGTATAAAAAAAAACTGAACAGATTTAAAATTGCTCTCAATTTCGAAAAACAGCTAGTTGTATCCGGTTTTTTATATATATAGCCTCTTTGGGTACTTATAATGTAGAATAATGAGAAAAATTTCTCGAACTCAAATTTTGTGAACCAGGGGGGTGTGTCTTTTCCAACAAAATAAAAATGGCTCGCGCACAAAATTTAAAAGCTGCAATCATATTTTGAGTTAACAGATGGAAAATTTGTCGGGATTTTAATTACTGTACAAAATTTCAGACGATTTGGTTTAGTTTAAGCCCCTTAACTATTCACGCAAAGTTACAATTTTCCCGAAAAATCAGCTATTTGCATGCTTAATTAATGCATTCGCCTAATTTGCATATGTCAGCAATATGCAAATTAGGTAAAGGCATTAATTAAGCATGCGAAAGGCTGACTTTTTAGAACAAAATGAATAGTTAAAGGGCTTAAACTAAACCAAATTGTCTGAAATTTTGTACAGTAATTAAAAACCCGACCAATTTTCAATCTATTAACTCAAAATATGATTACAGCTTTTAAATTTTGTGCGCGAGCCATTTTTAGTTTGTTGGGAAGGACGCACCCCCCTGGTTCACAAAATTTGAGTTCGAGAATTTTTTTTATTATTTTACACTATAAGTACCCAAAGAAGCTATATATATAAAAAATAGGTACAAATAGGTGTTTTGCTAAATTGAGAGCAATTTCAAATCTGTTCAGTTTTTTTGATACACCCTGTATAATAATGCTTCTTCGCCGGATCCTACTTCGCCTTCGAAAAATCTTCCTGCGCAAAAACTGTTTCACATAGGGAAGATAGCGAACAAAAATCCTTGGTAAGCCAAACGTTTCGACTTTTCTTACTGAAAATTAAGTGAAAATGTTAGTCACTCCTAAAACCAGCATTTTTAACAGTACGCCCAAAGAATTAATGACATTTTTTGGCGTAGTTAACTTCAACTACTTTTTAACTACTTTTTCACAGCAGTCAACGCTAACTACACTTTTGTACAACCCACTGTCCCACTTAACTATGCGTAATGAAAGTTAAGATTTATTTCCTATTCACCATATCTACAAGAGAATTGTTGAACTGTTTTGTTTAAATGCTGTTTAAAAAAAATAGAAAGAATATAGCTATAAATTTCAATGAAACAAAAATATATCATAACGAAAATTTTATTGTCCCGAAATCTTTTTTGATTGGAGTGAATTTTACCACAGCCTCACTAAGGTTATACCAAATCCGTTAGTGTTGAAGAGAAATACTCGTACATATACAGTACAGCGTAATTTATCAATACATGAACTTAAATTGTCATTATTTTATTACCCCAAATTATATCAGATATGCTAAGGAAACCATTAATCGAATATCATTTTAATTAAAAATTTCTATAAGCATGATCCAAAACTTTATGCCAGAAATATACGCAAATGATGTATGTACAAGAGTGTTCAAATTCCAACCAATTCAGTGACTTATTTGCATGCGCAATTGAAATGGATTCCTCATTTATGTAGTATTTAAAACACAAGTAGGAGTGTTTTATCATATTTAAAATGCGAGGCGCAGCCGGGCGTTTTAGATATGGTAAAACGCAAGTTCGAGTGTTCAGTTGAATAAGTTGAAATACGACTACAAAAGAATACTAATTAGGATGAGCAATTATATAATCATTCTAATTAGGATGAACAATTATATAAAGAATACTAATGAAGGTGAATTTTATCAGATATAAATAAGTCACTCCAGGTGACATATTATGGCCATAGATATCTTATATACACTAGATAGTGCATCTAATTATTCTGAAATTCAAAAATTGAAGCCGTGATTGCAGTCTCAGGTCGTTCCCATAAAATGAGAAGATTCGTATGTTTTCTATTTCTTAAACGGGGAACTTAAACATCAAGTTAAGCCTATTCAAAATACGTTTTGAAACTATTCAAATGATGAATGTTATTGTTGTTTTTAAGCGTGTATTAGCAAGTGGGAACGACCAACATGGCCGCCATCTATTCAAATGGGGGTAACCGCTGGACTATTCTTGGCTTCAATTTTACTAAAATAGATGCGCTATCTAGTGTATATAAGATATCTATGATTATGGCTGACATGATTTGCTACAAGGTTTATGAATTTTTAATGAATATTTTAATTTTATTTAATTGCATGGAACATTATCACATGCTACGTCTGGCACAGTAACAATTTGTTCTATTTTGACAGAATATCCTTATTTTATCCATTGGAATATCATCACGCCATTATTATTTGCAAGGCAGCATGCATGCAAGTCCCTAAACAAGATGGATCGGGAAACGGAGGTTGATATAGCACGAAACAAATAAGCTCAATTTTAGGCCAAATACAAAAACAAACATAAAACTAATGCAATTTTCCTCGACTGCAAAAATCTCAAGATTTTCAGTCAAAACTCGAAACACAAAGTCTATACACTGTCCAAAATTTGTGCGAAACCAGGAGGGGAAGGATTTTATTTCAAGGGCAGGATCGCGGTTCATCAGTGGTAATTGGAAACATGAAAATCCACCATGTTTATGCGGAAACTCGTTTGATCGGCGGAAAGAAAGAAGCACTTCCTCCGGTAATATTATAGCTCAGTGGCAAATAATGACGGTTAATAACAAACTATATTTAATCGCCAAGTCCCATTTTATAACGAACGTTTGTATGAGAAAATTACAGTATTCAAAGAACACTTACCTCTTTGGACAATAATAAATTCTGAACCTCAATATGCCCACTAGAAAAAGTAGGTTATGGAGGAATTGAATGAGTTGAAAATCGCAAAATAGGTGCGCTTTAATTTTTAAATGACTTGAATTAATGTTCTTCACGAAACCTTGGAAACGGTTCCTTTCATGCTACCAACTACATGCATAGTTTGGTCAAATTACAATCAATTCTTTTGTTGAAATTATCTACATTAACTTAATTGTGCATTGAACGACTGTGGTATTACATTTAATAAGCCAGCTGGTGATCGCTATATGTGCATCTCGCTATGTAATGAGCAAAAAATAAATAAAACTGAATGTTGCCTATAGATTTAATTAATTAATTAAAGCAAATCTAAAAATTCCTCAGCGTAATATTTTTTTTATATATATTGCATATTGATTCTTTCAGGAGAAATAGACAGCAAAGATGACAGAGATTCTTGCTCTGCTTGTACTTTTGATTGTTCTGCCAAGTAAACTTGATGGTAAGTGGGTGTTATATAAATGTATATAGCTCATTAAAATACACGTTGGATCATTTACTAATTATTAAGATTGTGTTGGCATATCACTTGATTGAGTAATACTTGAAGGGTTTTGTAGATGAAAATGATTTACTTGTGTTTTTTTATGAAACAGTTTTTTGGATGGATTGGACCTAAACAGGAACAGTTGCGATTTTGATATTTATGCTCATACCTTAACATGGTAGTACCTTAGTATAATATATTTACATGAACTTGTGGTTAGAGCTCGACGACAACTCGAAATTCAATGCCACTGAATATGCTTATCTATTATTCATATATCCATAGTTATTCATATTTACGACAAAACATAGATTTTGCGGTGCTCTTAACACATATTTAAGTAAATATTTTTAACTTGCTATCCAGCAACACTCTTTGTAAGTTCCAGATATATCCTTTTTCATTAGAAAATAAAAATTACAATAATTATTTTTTAAGTATATCAAATATTAGTACAAATAATACGGGCAACCTTTCTCCCCTCTTGTTAAATTACAGGAGAGACAATCAGGTGCGCCGTAGCCACGGGGGCAGCGAGGGAAACTGCCCCCGTTGCCGAAACAGTGCGGGCGCGGCACGGAGGCAACAGGTTGCCCTTTTTCACCAGAACTGCGCTTCGAAATTTGTGCGTTATTCACATGAATTGGAATTTATAAATATTTTTAAGCAATGTTTAAGCAATATTTGCTTAATTTTAACCAGGCCGCGGAATCACTTTTGTATAATTATGATCAAAATCAAACGATTTTATGTCGTTCACGAGCTGAACGAAAATTTTTTGAAAATATGGAGTCCCTATAAAGTTGGAAATGACCTTTACAGAGCCTGTGTTATGCAAAAAGTACACGTTCTTTCTAACCCCCAAAAGGGCATTTTTTCACTTTTAAAAAAGTGGGGAGGTACATGCCCCTATTGCCTCCCGGTTCCGCGGCCCCTGATTAATGCTAAATCAGGCAATATACGTCCGTTTACTGATTTTATTTTGCGTCCTTAACATCGTGCAACAAATAAAATTATTCAAATTAATGTCGAAGTTTGCCGACCCACAATAGCAATAAATAATCGGATATCCATACAATAAAGTTTTATCAAATATTGCCACCCAGAAAAATAATGGCTGAGAAGCAAGTGTCCTTTTCCAATTGCTGCCCCCGCCGCTTCACATCGCTTCCGGTGCCCCTGGAGACATGCATTATCTTTAACGTCACTTACTACCAGAAGTCCCGGCTCCATGAATATAATTAATAATTAATCACCCAAGCCCCTATTATATGAAGAACTAGCCGGTAAATAATATTTACTGCGGACCAGAAGTTGACCATTGGTAACGCTTCAACCCCACAAATACACCAAGAATGTGTATTCTCCATAGACGAATAAAGGCAACTCCCACAATAGTTGTAATTATATATAAGACAGCTTTTGTCAGATGATAGTAAGACTTGTGTTTTAACATTACCGTCACTTACGCTGCAACTGCATAGAGTCAAGGACGCACGGGGAAAATCTGAGATATAAGAAACCTGAATGGCGCCAAGAAAATTACAAGCAGCTTCTCCACAAGGCTTCTATATTAGAAGTTCTGAACTGGGATGCCGCACGTGGTAACACGACAAACAGAGCTGACCATCACTGTAGTTTATGTACTGTTTAATAAACAAGCAGGAGTATTTTACTAGGTTTAAAGCCACGAGCTTATCCCTTTTGGCCTTCTTTTGCTTTCTATACAATACACGATTACTGGTTATATTCTTTGCCAATTTTGTCAGGCCGGCACCATTTTGCAATTCAAATTCTTTCTATTTTTTTTAAATCGATCTTCGGGAAAAGTTTACTGATACCTTCTGAAAGGTCCTATCTCAGGGTAGCTCTTACTCCATTTAACAAATTTACAAATATATTGCTCTTGCCCAATATAACTGTTGTAAAAACACAACACTGAAAATTTAAAGAACCAGATGCATCAAGGTGTGTCAAACGGCTCTGTTTCTCTCTTCTCTCTACATCTACAATGGAAAAGCAGCAATGTATCTTGATCAATATGCTAAAATATGTCGCCAAACCGCGCTTGTTAAATATCAAATAGAAACAAATTTGAAATAAATGAAATTTTTCAAATCGAACCCTAAATGCAAAAACCCAGGATTATAACACTAATGTCGGCGAATGAAGGTTGAAATTTAAGCGTTAATAGGCTACATTAGAGGTATATAAACATGCACGTATTTTATATAGTGCAAAGTTTTGTAAAACTCAAACTTTCCTAAATGCTTTTTAGTCATCGATCTACAGTACACAACATCCAAATTGTTTTGTAACTCAAATTTCCAGTATATTAATGACTGAGCTCGCTTTCCTAGCCTTTGCCCAGTTATGGACAGACACATTATGTAGTTCAAGCTACTGATTGATTTTAACAAAAGGAAACATATTAAAATTAGATGGAAAAAATTTCTTAAAACATACAATGAATAATTGATTACACTTGAATATTGAACGTGAAGCCAAATCAAAGATCAAATTTCACAGTGAGATATAAATCGATTAGATTAGGTGCAGAAAATATATCGTTCCAGGCAAATGTTATGCCAGGATTTTAACACAGAATTTGATAAATTTTATACATTTTGCTTAATGTTAGACAAAATCTGCAATAAACGTTTGAATTCACTGGAATACTTGCGATACCAAACGCACATACATCATCAATTAAACCGTGCTTGTTGATTTTCATTGTGTTCGAGACTCGCTCTTGTTCAGTATAATTCAAAGCAGTCGTTTGGCTAAATGTTACTACTAAACTTTGAATTGTCGGTATTTGATCGAACTTGACAACATATTCCTTTTGAACATTGTTAAATTTCAATGATTTTCGAATGCCTTGTCACTTGAATGGAAGTTACATGTATTTTAACATTAAATCCCTCTTTGTAGAGTTATATTGCCTCATTTCTTGAACTGGCCGCAATTGTTTATCATCCGTGGAAGTTCAAATTTTCTTTTCGCTAGGCTTATCTAGATTCATAGGAAAACCGATGGAATGGAAATTGTATGGACCTTTATTTGAAATAGAATGGATTTTATTATCCATAATAAATGTATATTTCCATGCTATGCATAAAGTTTTAAAATAGTATGGATATACTATAGATTTAGTGGTGCATGGATTTAGTGGTTCAATTGCAAATCTCATAGTATGGATTTCACATTCTTACCCCGCCCCCACCCCCAACCTCGCAAGCCAGGTTCTCTACTTCCGCTCCCTCCCCAACACGTTGGAGCGGGTTGGGGAGTGAAGCGGAAGTAGAGAACCTAGCTTGCGAGGTTGTCCCCCCCCCAAGTGCGCTGCTTCATTCAGTACTTGCACGTACGCGCAATACCTGAATTACACACATAACAATCTCACATCTTGTAACAAATCTGCCAACAAGCCGTCAACAAGATGTATTCGCACTGCTTGTCACAAGTTGTCAACAGGTTTGGAACAATTTGTTGACAACTTGTAATAACCTTGTCGAAATTATCAGACTTGTTGCAAGGGTGTTCTGATAAGTCCGTTACATGATTGATATAACAAGATTGTCACAACCTTGCGTTTACGACCTTGTACCATCCTTGTTATATCATGGCTGTAACAAACTTGTTAACTTGTTAACGCATTCTTGTAACAAGGTAGATAATGCCATCAATCGTGTTAAAAGTTGTTAACAGCTTGTTTCAACAGGCATGCAGTGCGAACACAACTTGTTGACAGCTTGTGAACAAAATTGTAACAGCTTGTTTGCAGACTTGTGACAACTGGTGCGTTTTTACGTATGTAGTTGACCTATTAATTATTGCCTTATAATTCTGTAATTTATTTGTAAATAGTCAAAAGCTACTATCACATACCAGTTAGGAAATGATGTAAGAGAAAGTGTGTCTTTATCAAATTTCTCAGGAACTTGTCAATTTCAGGAAACAAGCAATAGACTGTCGATCAAGTCGTCCAGCACACAACACTTAGTTATATATATCACATTCATTTTCAACATCCCTCTCATTTATGACAATGGTCGACGCATAAAATTTTTAATTAGGTCTGTTGGAGGTTTTAGTATATTGAAATTTCCAGCGGCAATAAATGATATCCATTCCTTTAACTGTCCGTGAGCAGCTTCTAAAAATGCAATCACGAATCCTTCGGCAAAGCGCTTTACCGCGTAGCCTATACTGTAGTTAAGTTCAGTTCCAGCGCATGAACTACAAGTTTTTTCTATATACTAAAACGACGCAAACGAAAACGCTTCAGCATTCAATTATATCGAACAAAATCCATGAAATTCTTATTTATGTTTATATTTTATTACAGCTGCTTGTCCTGTCAGTTGGCACAAGTACACAGATAATTGTTACAAGAAGTTCCCAGCAGCATCTTGGAATGAAGCTAGATTAGCATGTGATCGTCAAGACGCTACATTAGCGCAGATAGCAATGAAAGGTCTAGCAGAAAATGAATTTATTAAGAATAAGTTTGGAGGAGGCAATTGGCTTGGTATATCTCGATGTCATGCAAGCAGCACATGTCTCCTAGACTTTTCACCGGCCCTGTGGACCAACTGGGCATCGGGTCAACCAGACAAAAAACCACAATATCTACCTGGTTTAGATAATAAGGATTTTGCTGTTTTGATACAAGCAGATGGAACATGGGCAGACCAACCGAAGTTGGAAAGGCATGCTTATATATGCGAAAAGCCAGGTACTTTACAGTCGAGTTACTATATGGCCTGGGTGCATGCAAAATATTCCTGGACCATATATTTCGCGCGCTAGGTCTACAATATTATTTTGGAAATTATATGATAATCTTTCTTTCTGTCTTCGTTTTAAATCCACAAATGAAGATTTTCATTTACAGTGCAGGAATCGTCGTGATGAAGGGGTATAATGTACAGACCTTCAAAATGTCGTTGAAGTTGCCACATACTCATGCACTGTTTGAACAAAAACGAATTTACAGCATACAATGTCAATGCTGTAGTATAATATTCGCCTGTAAGTTAGATATGAAACAAACTCTCAATATTGTTGGCCGAAATCTGCATGCAACCAAATTGCTCCTCCTTTATATGTCGATCCTATACATGCAAATATCTGACTGTTGCTAACTGTTCTCATGCATGATGATGTTTGATGATGGACGTTTTATTTTTAGAGGATCCTTGTGCAGATAACTTTTGCAATCCAGATGGAAGCACATGTGTAAATGGAACTTGTCAGTGTAAGCCAGGGTATTCTGGCGAATATTGCTATAGTAAGTAAGGTTTAAAAATTGTTCCAACGTGACCATAGTAAAACAATGGAATTGTTTTAGAAATGTGTGCAGTATAGGTTAGGACAAAAGAATAAATATCTCCGTTACCATTCAACTTGGTTTTAGCAAAAGCTCTTCTAATGGTTTGTTATAAACTTGAGTTATCCTCTTAATGGTTTAAAAAAGATGGTAAAAACTATATCACGTCTTACTTCTAAGATTAGCGTATTCTATTAAATTAATGCATGAAAACATATTGCAGGAAAATATTTGTGATCAGGGTAATCTCTTGCCAGTCAAACCATTAAAAGCATTGTAAGTTCTATGCAGTCCTATAGTAATTCGAGATAAGAACTAGGTTTATCCAGTACTAGGTTTATGCAGAACGAAATCAGTACTATGTTTATCCATTATATTTTTCTATGTCGTATCCAGCTCTGGGTACGACATAAAAACTAATAGAAAGAAATTAATATATAATACGAAACACAATTGTAAGAATTTATTGTGCAGTGTATATAAATCTTGAAGTCAATGTTTTTATTTCAGTTGGACCATGTGATGCAGATCCTTGCCAGAACGAAGGGACTTGTGAAGTGGTAAACGGAAATTATTCCTGTACATGTGTTAATCATTATTCGGGAAAAAACTGTGAAGGTATTAATCCAAGTCTTTGTTTCTTTGAGTTCTGCTTTTGCCACGTTGTTGTGTGTATATTTGAACTGTTACAATAGAATGCTATATAATCGCAACGAAACCGCATTTTCTCAACTATATAACACGGAATCGTTCAACTCTTCTAATTACAAAATTGGGGGGAAAACACGGAGTAGAGCGTCTGCATATGACGTCACAGCTGCCATGTACGTTGGTATTCCAATTCAAAAGAATTAAATTAGACTCTTTTGTTTGTAACACCAACATGGCTGCCATTTCTTTTGTTAAGCTGGTCCCTGGCGAATGAGTACAAACGCTCCATTGAACAAAACTAAATTAAATAAACTTGAACGAGATTAAACAGATTCTGCAAATGAGAAAAAAAGGTAGACGACTTATATCGGCATACATTTAGGAGAAACTGTTGTTTTTTTCTATGCGAACTGCATAAGAAATAGTATAAGGGTTCCGTTTTTAAATAATATATGCGTTTGCGTTGGGTTTTGCAGCAAATACAATCGATAGGCGTAATCGGAGATTTGACTGCGAATCGAAAGGACGCGCTTTGCGTTAGGCTTAAATTGGCGTTGAATTATGACACGTAGCTGTATGAATTTGCATGCATATGAAAGGACCGTTCAACCATTATCGCTTTCCACTCATTGCCACAACAGAATTGTAAATTACAGTATTTTTGTTTAAGCATATTTTGCCTTCTCTGTGAATCAAAATATAGGCCTAGAAAAGTACACTTAGGGGAATATATTTTGATGGACACATCTGTAACTGTTTTCAGTGCCACCTCCTTGTAAGAGGAAAAATCCATGTGTAAATGGTGTTTGTGAAGATATCAATCCCGTTGATTACAGATGCAAATGTAACCCTGGATGGATTGGAAAGAATTGTGACGGTATTATTTAAATTGCTCATTTCTAGCTAATTTAAATTCAAAGCACGAGAAAATTTGTATAGCAATAGCTCAAAAAATCTAAATATTATTTGTTTATGAGATGTCTGACTAGCGTGTAAACGTTTTAAAAATGTAATATAATATTCTAATTTCGTGCATTCGTACCACAAATTATTGGTCATCACCGATGTCTATTTGATGAGACTTCCACTGCTGCTTCCGCTCCTATAAAGGTAATTCCGCAGTTTTGCATTGCGCACTTTTACTGCGCACATCTTATAACTGATAATTTCATTTATTATACGTACCGTGTAAAATAAAATATCACTTTATGACAATTTTATGTTACTGCAAAACATCTTTGGTTACATTCGTGCAAAGAATTACGTTAAAATCAATGTTTTCAAAAAAGGCATACAAAACTGTAACTAGGGTTCCTGTGTTTGTAGCATATTTATTTACTTGTATTTCAAGTTTTAATGCCACAATTCCCTAATAAGATGGGTGACCCCCGTTTTTTAACTGGTAATTTATATCTTTAATGCATTTTACATTTCATATCCGAAATTGAAAGAAAAATCATTTCTGGATCAATGCACGTTTCTAAAGAAAGATATGCAAAGAAATGTGCAAAAGACATTTGTGGATCAGAATTGTACACGTTAGAAGTTTCATTTTGCTCGAAACACAATAGTTTTTCAAAATTAATTACAAGATAGGTTTACTAAAGCAAAATACTCGCTAAAAACGTCATTAAATATCGGGCTGTTGTGAGTTTGCTGTTACTCGTAATGAGCGTCAAGATGGCGCTATATTGGGGTAAAGGTGGTATATTGCGATTGTCATATCTTCTTAACGAGTTCGGCAACCCCAACTTTTTTGTGTGATTTACTTTAAGTATGTCATAAACTCCATGCCTGGGAAATTTCAGTACATTTTCGTTTCGGGAACAATTACTGCGGAATTACCTTAACCAGCCAGATATGTTTAATATGACCAATTAACCAATCAATGACGTATTAAACTGGGGGACGATTATAAGGTACTTTCCAGATACACGCTCAGATTAGCACCTCACCACCTGTCTATGTTGCTTTCCATGTTGGACTACTGATAAATTCGTGTAAAAAACATTGCACACGAATAAAACCAAGAATAAAATCCAAGGATGTCTTCAATTGAAAGAAAAGTTAATATACATTGCCGCCATTTCGCTATTATTTATTTCGTTATGTATTTAGTTTCGGTTTGTATAAGCCGAACAAAAACCCTGAAGACAAAACAAAGAATAAAATACTGATTGACGCAATTTGTGAAGTGATAGTTTTGTATAAGAACAAAGCTAGTTTCGTTTAAATTGTTAATTAAAGATGAACAAACTATGGCTACAACTCCTGCTAAAGTTACTGTAAAACATGTTTTTATTTTTCAGAGCTAGCCAATTTCTATCATTAATTAAAAAATTGTTAACTTTCATAATACACAGTAATTCGAACATCTCCATTTGTTTCCATATTATAGAACGGCCATGCGACAGACGACCCTGCAATAAGGCAAAGAAATGCGTAAACAAAGGGTTTTCGTACGAGTGTGTCTGTTTGAAAGGCTGGACAGGCCCAAACTGTGAGAAAGGTATGGATTATACACTGACACATGTATTTTATTGCGTGTCAAAACGATCTCAGTAACTCCATTAAAACACTCGTCTGCGGTTTTATTTTACTATTGGACTGGAATAATTTGATAGCACCCCCCCCCCCCCGTTCACAAATAGAACAATGTTTGACGTACTTACTTCAGTCATATTGCAGGTACGCAATCTACTAGAGTGAAAGGTGGGTAAAGGAGGGTGATACTTATGTGATAATGCGAAAATTTGTCAAATAAACGGGGAGGGTGTCCGTCTGAATGAACTTGATCAAAGAAACTTATTTCGTTAAAAAAATTCGTTCAACAGAGTAGGTCAACAGAGTAGTCATAGCGCGGTCAACAGAGTAGTCATACGCGATAACAGACTATTAATGTACTGTACCTGGCCAACCTCACCTCGACATGAGAAAGCCATGAATGCATGGTTTGCAACATAATATTAGATCATTTTCGCAACAAAAGGCCAAAAAGCTTATAACTTCTTTAATTAATCTTTGCATTTACATTGCAAGATAAATTGTTTGTCAGATGCATTATGCACCTTTAGAGAAAGTAGGTCTCCAGTATACATCAGCCCATTCCAGGACTGATAATATGAAGTAACTTGTCCTGATATTTCGTTCTCCAACATGCAGTCAGCGCATTTGTTGACAATTTCACTCAAAGCTAATCAGAATGCGTAATTGGTTACTGTAGGTACTTTCCCTGCGAGCACAGGAAGCCTACTTCTGGTAAAAACATACATTTGAACAGAAAAGCTAGGGTAAAATAAAGCGTCAAGTTTGTTAGGATAACATTTTTTTATTGGATTCAACATGACAAGGTAAAATATGAAATTTTCTGAAAATTTGCTGTTGGGATTTGCGTTTTATTGACTAGTTCTAAAATTAACGGCGTTCGAACTTTCGCTCTTTTTATACGCCGCTGTTCGAATGGGGCATTTAAAACTATGCAATAAAACGCAAATCCCAACGGCAAATTTTTACAAAATTTTATATTTTACTTTGTCCCGTTGTATCGAATAGCAATAAATAAAAGTCTTGATCTCTCAAAGCTTTATTTAAGATACTAACTTTTCTGTTCAAGTGTATGTTTTTGCCGGAAGTTGTAACCAATTACGCATTCTGATCAACAAATGCATTGATTCGTCGAGAACGAAATCCCCCCGTGTTCGCGGAGCGCCGTTCCGGGCGTGAGTCCGAGGCTAGGGCACTAAATCCTCCCGACTACTTAAACCCGATGAAAGGAAAGTATTAACGAAGTCTAAAGCGGTGTCAAGATCCACGGTGTATGGGTGGACTTTCTCACTGATTTAAAAAAAATTGCTGCTTGCAAGCAGTTGGATAAGCAAGTTTCAATTTTTAACAAGAAAATACATGCATGCAGACACCCCTCGCCTTGCAGACGAAACCATTGTATTTTGCGAACATGAAGTATTTAAAGTACTTGTCATGATAACACGATAACTTTAAAAGTAAAGGATAATCAATAAAGCAACACTAAAATTATGTGCTGTCGAGTTCATTTAAAAAGCTTTTAATCAATTATAAAGCAAATATTTAAAACAAACCTACCTTCGATCAGCTTTTAAACAATTATAAAGAAAATATTTAAAGCAAACCTACCTTCGCTAATGTCAGCGCCTTTTCTCCCTGCTTTTAGCCATTCTTTCGCCTTTATTTTCTTAAAAAGCTTTTAAAATGCACAAAATCCTGCAAAAATGAAATATATTTGCAAGAAATGTTAGAACTCATCAAATCAAGAAATGTTTGCTATTTCGCTGTCGTCGTGCAGTCGTTATAATGCAAATTTTAAATTTGACCAATCAGTGTTCGCTATTCATGACAGTCCGCCAATTTTTTTAGATCAGTGAGGATGACCACTCACCCAACACCCAAGCACCGTTGGTCACCCACACCGTTGGTCACCCACTTCAGACTTCGCTCGCCCGGGGTTTACGCCCGAAACGCCGCTCCGAAGTGAGATAATCAAGACTTCGATGACTTAGAAAATTGTTTCATATACAACGAGCTTTAAAGCAAAATATGTTTAAAGAAATTAGAACAATTGATTTATTATGGGAAATCGTGAAATAATAGGGCAAGTTTGCTCCGAATGTTCAATGTTTATGAATTTTGTTTTTTAACTCTTTGCATAAAACCGTTGTCTTTTCCAACGAAGCTATGAGTTTCCTAAAAGCATATTAATTCAAAGATGGAACTCAAATTGCCCAACAATATGAACTGGTTATATATTTTTCATTATTTAAAAACTGCAATTTATCGGCAATTGTACTCTAATATTTGAATGAGCATTCCAAAACATCAAAACATTCAAGGCAAATTTTACCTTAAAATAAAGTTTACAAAATGCAAAATAACATACCTAATTACAGTATGTATTTCGGAAATTCAATGTTGTATACTTAAAAGTACTAATATTATATACAAAAGTGTATAAGAAAGCTATCGTGTTGTCATGGCAACGTTAGTTTGCGTGCAGTGTTGCTAATTTCCCAATACTTCATGTTAAATCAATGTTTGGAAAATATAGGCAACGGGTTGCTGCATGCATGTATTTCTAGCAGTTTCTGATTATTTTAATGATAGTGTGTATTCTTCATAGTGGGCAATGCTGGCGGCGACCCACACTATTTCACGTTCGACAGGAAGAGGTATGATTTCATGGGAAAATGTGAATATGTTTTCGCCAAAGATTGTAGCGAAGAACGCGCTTTTGAAGTTTATCAGCAAAATGAACCATGTGGTTCTGGCACTGTCAGCTGCACCAAGACCATTAAGGTTCTAACGCAATCAATGGAGGTTACTATGGAGAGACAGGGAATTATTTATGTCGATGGAATTCGTGTAAATCTTCCGTGGAAAAAGTCAGGTAACAAATTAATGTATTGTAATAATGTTTCAATGAATCCAGTTAGTACTGAATTGCAATATTAAGAGACATGATTTAAAATAATCCAACCAATTATAGATTGATAATTTGTATTCTTAAGATTTCGTTGTGCGTCAAAATTAGTTGCATATAGATTACGCAATCCCAGGGGTAGTTGCCTGATTTTGATATTTTTCGTTCTCTCCGCCCACAAAACAGGATCGGATATTAAATACTTTTTTTCCAATATTTCGGATAAATTCAACAAGATTACAAGTGTATGGACATGAAATCGTGATTCAGTTTTATAAAAAGTACACATGCAGATGAGCGACTTTCAAAATTATAAATCCATTCTAAAAATTTGCAAATAAGTTGGAAAAATATTTCTACAATTTGTTAAAATTGCAGTATTGGTGTCGCCACCTTAAATCATTCCAGCAGGCAAATGGTTAATTAGTCATTCTAATCAGTCAAATATAGAAATGTAACTATTAGTTTCAAACTGTTCTTAAAGAAATTAATTTACATCAAATTAATGAATTAAACTAGGCTCAAATACGACAATCACCAGATGGTCACGAGGTGCGTTAATGGATGTTCCCGATCTCTTATTTTCGGTACGCTGGGATGGATCTTACGCCATCTACGTAAAAATCAACCAACGCTATGAAAACCGGACGTGTGGTTTAATGGGAAATGCCGATAGCAATCAAAACAACGATTATCGACTTCCCGACGGAACTTTTACCAACGACATTTCAAAGTTTGCAAACAGCTGGAAAACAAATCCTAAGTGTGCAAATGGCCTTGTACCACCTGAACAATGTGAACAACTTAGTGCTTCGGAATACAAAGATATAAATGAAAGGTGTGCTAAAATGAAACAGTCACCATTCCGACAATGTAATAGCAGAATCAGACCAGAAACTTCGTACATTCGTAACTGTGAATATGATATGTGCGCCATGAAAGGCAATCGTCTGGGTGCGTGGTGCCAAATTTTGGAAAAATACGACAGAGCTTGCAGTTCAAGAGGTATCAAAATTGATTGGGAAGGAAAGCCTGGCTTTGAAGTGTGTGGTAAGATGCACATTTATTCATATAGATTCATGATATACTTTATTACATAGAAGTCAACTTGGCTCAATTTTTCAGAAGGAAAGCATTTTTATTAAGAGTACTTTTCTCGCTTTTGCAATTAATGCTTAATTTTGCTTTATATATTTTGGACGTATGGCAAATAAAATTTGACACATAAAAATTGTTGGGTGAAAGACACAATTTGCCATTTTTGGGCAATTATTCAATAATGTCTTATTAACCGAACGCACGGTCTGTACAAAGAAACATCGGACCGGGTGGTCTTTTTTATACAGACCGAGCTCGTAGGGCGAGGTTTGTACAAAAAGAGTGTAGTACGATATTTCTCTGTACATACAAAACAAGCGAGGTCAATAAAAGTTTTATTATATGGCATTTATACTTGAAACAAACAAGAAATGCATGATTTGAAGCCTTTCATATTAGTACCATATGATACAGATTTGGTCGAAGAAAACAAAAAATACGAATGTTTGCTTCTTTTCCAATGAACTCCTTTCGCATGAGATACTGTGTTAATAACAAAATTAAATGATATTTTTTAATTATTAGTTTTGCTCTTTTGTTTTAAAATACATTCGTTTGTTTTTAAGTAATGGCCCGCCGGTATACTACGGGAAAATAATAGACCGCTGAAAATGCTTCTTAGCCAATCACAGTCCGCCATTTCACCGGAGGTAAAGCTTGCCATGTAATAAGTAAGATTTAATTACCGAGAATGAGGTTTCTCGGCGAGATGCAACCCGAGAGGCGTGACCAAAGAAAGCGTCCCCAGAGCCGTAGGCTCGAGGGATGCTAATTCTGAGGGTTACGCTTCCGGGAGATGTACCTCAATAAGAAACCAACGTTCGATGTAATTAACCAATTTAGTCAAATTTGTAAGGATTGACACACAATAAAATCTACTTTTTTGTTCTATGTACATATATTGAATTAAAAGAATAACGTTTGTTACCATGGGATCCACATGAAAATGAGATTCGAACCGTTTTATGAAATTGTGAATGCGTTTGAACTATGAACGACCTATGTATCGACAAAGAACAAGCTTCCAGGCAACCTGAATCAAATAAAAATTAAGACTTATGGAAAGAAAATTGACTAGAGAGAGAGAGTCTTAGAAAACGCGTATTGAGCGTACACAGTTACGTATGCATGGGCAGTTCGTGTTTGGAAAGAGTGGGCTGAAATAAGAATTAGCTATAGCCACAGTTAATAAAATACATGGTTTGGAGACTCGATGAAACTACAATATAACTCATTAACTATGTTGGTTTCGGTTTATGCAAGAATTTGGGCGTATCTCGTCACGTGTGTATTGTATTTTTTCCCGCACAACCAATAGCAATGTTTAAATTGAGCATTTGTTCAAGTTACGGATGGATAACTCAACCACAAACTTGTTATTGGTTATTTGAGCGAAAATACAATACTCACGTGCGAGACAGGACCAAATTCTTGCATAAAGCTGGACAATAATATAGTTAATGAGTTATATTGTACTCCCATCGACTCTCCAAACCATCTATTAAAATAACTGTGCTATAACGAAGATTTGTATGCGCTTAGCAAAGCAAAGATTTTAAATTTGTGCTCAATTGGGTTTTATTTGGGTATGAATCTAAAAGCAAATGGTAGAAATTTGATATCTCTATTGGGAAAAGTGGGTTTGATGAATTGAGTTGAATTAAATTGGTGATTAAATATTCAGCGGTTTTGTATAGTTAAAACCCGCTTTCTGCGGGGGTTTTTTTATGATGCATCACCTTCAAAATCGAGTTTTGTATAAATAAAACACGGCTAATAATTATTTAGTCATTAATTCAAATCATCAACTCCGCCTTTTCCTGTAGAGGTATTAAATGCTCTCCCTTTGCTTTTAGATTCTTATCCTAATAAAACCCTATAAAAACAATAGAAATTCCAAAAATTTGATCTAATATCGAGAAAAACGGAATTTAATAGGTACCATTTCAAAACTGATAGTGCCATTAAAGTTGTGTATATCAAAACGATGTACCTGTCTGCTATTTATAATTTTAAAAAATTTTTTAAAGAAATAAAATGCCTCTAAACGTCCTTCAGCCGGCTTCTCATCCTACAGCAGTGAAGGATGCGTTGTTGCAGCAAGTTTAAAATTTTTAAAAATCTTTTAATTAAGGAAATAAAATGCTTTTAAACGTCCTTCAGCTGTCTTCTCATCCTACAGCATGCAGTGAGGGATGCGTTGTGACAGCAAGTTTATTATTAGATCAGTAATTTTACCGCACTCCATTTCAAATTAGAGCACATGGCCGTACTAATAATGCTCTACTTCAATTGTAGGCAATCCTTGTGCCAATATACCTTGCTTTAATGGAGCGACATGTAAGAATATTAACAGGAAAGAATTTAAATGTACTTGTCCAAAAGGGTTCAGTGGACCCACCTGCAAAAATGTCGGTAAGTATGACGTAGTTATATATCATATCCCAAGGACGGGGTTAGCACTTGTATAATGCAGACTTTCAGATATTTTATGTAATATTTCAAATCCGACTAAGAGGGCTGGACTAGATTTCCAGCCCGCATGGCGAAGGCGAGAACTGGATCCAAATGCAAGGCTAGGATTTGAAATGATATCTTATAGGAGTAAATCAATTCTTAAAGTGAGGTGTATCAATTTTGATCCAGTCCAAGGACAGAATTAATTTTGATCCAAACCTAGCACTGAATCAATCTAATTCACATGCAGGTATCCAGTACTATCATGTGATAAAAATAAAGCAAATATTGTCGGCTAATTTACTTATGAATTATTCATAGTGCATTTAGTAATCATGAGCCGGGGTAGGGGATACTTTTAGAATTCTATAGCCACATAACATAACACTAGCTACTAGCAAAACTGGTATCTTTTGATGCTGAATTAAGATCAACAAGTTTGTTTATGGCATTCAGTATATAGTTCATAATTTCCAGTCTTAATTATATACGAAGTTGTTTTTGAATTTTGGTTCACTTTTTACCTTCCATTATTCGCTTTTGGTTTTGTACTTTATTGTTTTAATTAATCTGCGTATAGGTTTTTTCTGGATTCCAGTATTATAAATACTTTCTTTCTTCCATTCTGTTTAAAGAGTGCAAATCTGGATATATCTCCCGTGGCAATCTTTGCTACAAGAGGATGGGCAGGCGTCCATGGATTGTCGCTAGATGCCGACCAGGGGATAGTTTCGTGTCGGCAGAAAACCAGGATGAAAATCAATTTATTTACGAGAAATTTGTGAAGACATCAAGAAAATCATTCTGGATGAATGCCCGCGTCTGTGCTGCAGGGAAGCTATGCGACCAAACGTTTGGCCCAGTATTCTATCATAATTTTGGAAGAAAAGTTTTGAATACAGGATGTGTTGAAATGCCGTATGGCAAGAATGGGAAATGGACAGCGAAGAATTGCAAAGCGGCTTCTTATTATATTTGCAAATACGGTTAGTAGTTGCATCTTACATAATGTGTTTCCGGTGATATAGCTACGAAGCTTGCGGTTTTGTTTAGCTCGCTTGTGACGAAACCACAGCAATAGAGGAAATTCCGAAAATTAATATACCTCGCATTGAAATATGGTGAGGAAAGACATCTCACTGTTCATCAAGGTGTTAGTTTCAATAATACTGACTACAGAGTCTATTTAAAATTCTTTTGAATTAGAACGCCAACACAGCGACTGTAACGTCATGAGCAAACGATCTATCTATCATTTCGTTCCAACTTTACTACTTGAGAAAACTGCATTCATTTTGGTTTTCCGTTTTTTAACAACAAACTTGACATTCATAGTATCGAAAGATGCGTAGCTATTCATCCACAATACCAAATTTATTATTTCATCTTTGTTTGAAAATAATGCCGAGCACATATATCAGAAAAATGATCTGCTGTTGACTTTTTGCCGATTCCTTAATTTTATTAATTCTTTTAATGTTTTGTTCATTGCTGACCCAACTTCTTGAAATTTCCTAAAAATACCAAAAAAAACGAAATTCTTTGCCAATTCAGTTCACAATTCAAAAATATATGATATTTTGAAAGAAGTCATCTTTTCATTCTTCGAAAATCTGTAGTTTTCAATGGCTTTGATTCCCATCAGTGACGCATTTAATATTTCGTATGCTAAGTTTTTGAAACATTTCATGATTATACAACATCACCAATATTGAGGTGAATAATTGCTTTAGCATATATACCATAATTAAACAAAACTATTTTTAAAAGAATTTATATTTCAGCCCTATAGCTCCGGTAATAGTTGTAAACAAAACAGCATTTACTCGCTTCCTGTAAAATTATTCTTATAATGTAACTTATCGTTTTGTGCAAAAGTTTGCTCGACGTGGGTACCAAAAAGTACCGAATAACCAAGCAAAATGCAGCCCATTATCTTTGCTTTCTTTTATCTTGCAGAAAAGTTTTGAACTTATTATGAGAGAATGCTGTATTCCACTTTGACATGACTGGTGAAGAAATATAGTCAGTACTCTAATAATATTGTAGTGGAATTTGAAATTTTGTAATAAAATACTGTTTTGTGTAGTTTAGACTCGTTTTATAAGTTAACTTGCCGGGAAATTATTTTAAATTAATGCGGTTCAATTGTTATATCATAAGTCATAACGATAAGTGTTCAAGTACTTTCAGTGTTCGAGAGCCAAGATATCTATTAGAGGACAGACGCCTAGAATGACGTCACACGCGACATACTCAAGGTAACTGGATGATTTAAGACATGCGCCTTAAAGTATTCAAATGTTCAGTCATGCATTCGTGTTGCATTGTAGTCATATGTAATCATGAATGCGTGAGTGAACATTTCGATACTTTAATACGCATATTTTAAATCATCCAGTCACAGCTACATGTTTTTCTTTAATTAACTGTGATTTTTGCCCGAATTTCGCGATTCGTGTATTGTATTCCCTTATTTGTATAGATCATGGACGCGTGATATTTGTTACATTTCGACTTTTTCAAATTTCCAAATGTTTGGGTGGATAAAAAGTTGACAAAAGCTAATTACCTTTTTATTATATAAAACAAATTGATAAGATTTTGCGATTGTCTGTTCAGTTTTAGATATACACTAGAAAATGTGGCAATAACAGAAGAGTGATCCAAACGCCACGGATGCTCGCGAGCTACTTTTTTGTTCAGCTTTCCACATTATGACGTCATACTGTGTATCCATAACGGCAAAATCTTATCTATCGTTCAAAATACATCATGCAAATAATTTCATGCTTCCGATTACAATACAAAATATATTATTATGTTAAAAATATGTGTCATCTGCGACCCTTTTCAATTTAGATCTGGTTGGTCCATACAATTGGAATGTTATAATGAATAGCTTCTTCACAGTTTTTTTTTATTAATCCACATGGATGATTTGTGATTTCGAAATCAAGCTTTAATTGAATTTGGAAGATGAAATTTTTTAAAGGAAACAAGTTGGAACACATTTGGAGAAGTACGTGGCAAATTACACTTTATGTAATACGTCCGACTTGTTTTCAAACATTGAAATGTGTTACGCAGTTACTCTGAACAAAGTAATGCTTACATACATCACATTTGCGGTCACATGTAAAACAGTCCTTTTTTTAAATTGGTGAGGTTGATCGCCGGGTGACTTGTATTTGGACGGTGGTAGAATTTCCGTAAGGTTTTTTGACCTTTGAAACGAACGAAGCAATAATAGAATCATTGGGAAACCTTTCCTTAATTTAGGAGAAGACTCAAAAATATGCTTCTTATAAGATAGCATTAGTTTCAGGATGGTTAGGATTATACCTTATCAAAATAACAAACTATAGGAATTTCTTTGGCCTTGGCAAACTGTTTACCAATTAAATCTGTTTTATATCCTTGTTCGACCAGGTAGCCTTTATTCCTCCAGCCTATGAGTCAAATGCTTTTCATTGGCACTTAATCTAGTTGTCACCCCATACGGAATAGCTCTAAAAACATGCTTGGGATGGGCTCTCCAAGGTTTAAGATACAAATGACTGTCCGTGGGCTTGAAATAAACGGCAGTTCCGTCTGAATAAAGGCATCTATGAAATGAAGCGTAATATCAAGAACATTAAGGCAGCTGCCAGAATAGACTAATTAAAATTCAAATGTAGGATATAACGAATTGATGTACTCCTTGAATTTATTATTTACGGCCAAAACCTGTTTCCATAAATTAAAAATGTCATACCGGTATCTCTACCATAAAAAGTTTAAGTGCCCAAATTTTGTTTTTCCCCCATTTTCCCCATTACCACATCAGCGTAACTACATACATTTTTGGATCCTCTAGCGGTGCCATGTATTTACAAGTAACTGTTTTCTTTAAATCTTGAGTGGTTAGAGTCTAAACAAATTTTCATCAATTCTAGAACACACTCTGTGGAAGGAAAATTTGTGTCCTTTTGATTTGAAGCTTCCTTAACAGCGTTGACACTAAAGTTGTTGTCAATATTTTAGGGAACATTGGCACAACGTCCCAAGGTACTGCTAATAGTGTGCCAGGAGGGGGACGGAATCAGCGCTATCCTTAATCACAAATCAACCATGCGGACAAATAGACGAAAACCTACAAAGTAACTGTTTATTACAATAGCTCCGCTCATGTTATGAAAGATTTTACTTTGCAATTTGTTGATCAAGTAACATTCCAACATTGCATAAATTCTAACACTAATCAGATTAAAATTGAAAAGGTCCAAATAACCAAAGAAACTTATTGGGATCAAGATAATTCTGTGTGCGACGTGCTTTGTATAACAGATGTTGTTCGTAGGGCATTATATCGACAACTGGCCCCTGAGAATTGAAGAAAATGGTGAACATTCTCTTTCTTTAGCGGAAACCTGTTTTTAGGACTTCTGGGCGTGGCTCATCTTCGGCCAGCCATGCATTGTTCGAGCGTTTCTCATTCATGCTAAAAAAATTCAACATGCACGCATCACCAGCAACAACGTCAGAAAACCGTTTCAGACCATTTGGTTCATTTTATTCCAACCATTTGCTCCGTTGTCAACTGATAAAGGACCCATCTTGCACACTTGAATTCCTTCATCTACAAAGTTACTCATGGACGATGAGAAATCTCAGTGTTATAGTTGGGTCTTCTGCATTTAACTGTCGGTCCCAGACGTCGTTGATTTCCCAGCATGTGCTTCATCTCCAACATTCTCTGGCCTTTTCAAACGTCGCGTTTCACATGTGGCGAACGCATTAAAACAATTGATAATCACTTGAAATGCCGCATTATCTATTGTTTCTAATGCGTTCGGTTCGCCACATGAGAAGCGCGACGTTTGAAAAAGGTGTTACAGGTAAAGGCCTCTCTCTGCAAAATACTGACTCCATCTGGCAATTATGCAAAAAGAAGGTGCATGGTCGCGATAGACCTTCACAAGTTCTTCATGTGTAGGTCTTGCTAGAATACCAAGTTTACATCGAGTCTAAATGTAGAATCGTATGCTCCTTTGTAGGCCCCGTATCAAATGAAAATAAGCATTTCGCCGCCGCTGGCGAGAAATTTTGACAAAGAAATCATTTTTTTTACATTCATTCGCCGCTGAAGAAAGTTGTCTCCTGCTACAGTTGCTTAAAATTTTCAACTTCTGTTTGACCTTTCGTTGACGGCGCGAAAGAACAACAAATGATCTTTTTCGGTGGCGAAATATTTCGCCAGCGGCAGCGAAATGCGTGGGTGGAAAACAGGCTTGACATTTTCGTACTTTAAATAGTGCCAACTTGTTGTTTTATAATGAAAATAATCCTCGCTTTAATTATAAACCTAAGACGTTCACATGTAGGAATGGCCGCGATTTGCATGCGACGACTCTTCTATATATGGACTTTAGAAATATTATGTATTAGTGGCGGATCATTTGATGGGGTGGATTTTCATTGAGCCCAATAATTTTTTAAACCTCCTGATGCTGCTCGGTATTTTTCTGTCATTCAAGGCTCTTGAACGATTGTTTTATTTCGCAGGCACATATAGGTAGTAGGTATTGAGTATAGGCTATGGATCGTGATTTAAGAGAATTTTTTATATTGTATCATATGTATTTGAAGGCTTAGGGAAGGTTATAATTTCGTTCTACATTTATATACAGTGGAATAGTAATGTGTAAGCGCTCACATGAATGGACCTTGGCTACGTGTTAGACTTTTAGTATGTAAATCGGGAATTAATTTCATTATAAAAAAAAACAAGTCAGCACAATTTAAAGTATGAAAATGACAGTAAGTGAATGTCATGTAGTAGCCCCCTCCCCAATAATATTTTAATTCAATGGCAGTGTTAGGTCAGTTATATATAGAAGCACCAAAACTAAGGCGTTTTTTTTTACAATATTTCCAAACGTTTCACGCGAAAGACGGCGAATAGCCTCCTATCATTATACAATTACTTTATGGTTTCCGTGTTTGGATGGCCTGATCCAAACACGCGGGAATGTTGCGAGGGTTAAGAAAAGCGAGCGAAATCACGCGCCGAAGGCGAGTGATTTTGCCCGCTTTTCTTAACTCGAGCAACATTCCCAAGTGTTTGGATCATTCCATCCAAACACGGAAACCATAAAGTAATTGTTTTATAAAATAACAACGAAACGATAGTCTTCCGTGTTTGGATGGCCTGATCCAAACACGGGTTTCGACCAATCAGAATACGCGTTATGTACATGTTATTTTATAAACATATGTATTGAATGCTAATCTAATTAAATGAAATTCCATTGCTGAAATTTCAAACAGATGAAAACATATTCATTTCACAGATCTGGTATACGTTAATTTAGGGTATTATAATTAGTTGCGGTAGTAATCATGTGTTTATGAAATGCTCCGCCGTCCGCCTTTTATCCGTCCGCTTTTTATCTACACCCGAAATTCGGAGTCCCTTTTTGTACTTATTTCGCCATATTGTTATAATTATTCGATTGCAAACAAATTTGGTGTCTGAAATTCGGAGTCTCTTTTTGTGCTCATTCCGCCATTTTGTTATAATTATTCCATTGTAAACAAATTTGGTGTCTGAAATTCGGAGTCTCTTTTTGTGCTCATTCCGCCATTTTGTTATAATTATTCGATTGCGAACAAATTGGGTGTCTGAAATTCGGAGTCCCTTTTTGTACTCATATTGCCATTTTGCTATATTCCACTGCGAACAAAATGGGTGTCTGAAAATTGTATCCTATTTGCTTGCTGTTATTTTTACTATATATTCATTATACAGTATTTTTTTGAAGACAGTAAAAATATATTTTATAAATAAGGGATTTTGAGGAAATCTTAAAGGTAAACATGGTATTTTTAGGGGGGGGGAATTAACCTTTCCTCCGAAGTTATTAATATTAATTGATTTTGAGTTGGAATGAACCTTGAAAATATAAAGTTTGCAAAAATGTAAAAAACCACTACTTAAAGTAGCAGTGAATTTTTTATTCCGCAAAATTGAAGAAAATTATTTTTACACATTTTTACCAAAAACGAATTGCTCTTGCAAATTTAGAGGAAAAGTATAGTGATTTAATGTATTTGGTTAAACTGTGCAGAAAAAATTACTCAAATTCTGCAAAGTTAAGGATATTTTGTGTGGATTTGGTAGTTTGGAATTATTGAAAATAATTGGGAACGCGTTTGATGTATTTGTTCATAAAACTTACTTTTGTTGTGTTAAAATTTCGCCAATTAGTACACATTAAACGAAAGGTCAAGTTTCATGCATACATCTCTCGTGCGACAAGCGTTCGAAAACGTTTACGGAAAGGTATTTTGTATGAAAATATTAATCTGCCGCAGCGACGTTAGTTTTATTTCTTCTTCAACGTTCTTGTTAGAATCCAAACATTTCTATGTTCGACATTCCTAAATTCGTGAGTGTAAAAACATTGAAGAAACCACAAGTAAACGCCTTTATAATATAATAGATAATAAAATAAATGGATAGGACTCTAGCTGACGTAAGCAAAAACAACCTAGTTGCAATCTGTGACGTCACGCGTATTGCAAAGTTCTCGGCATTTTTGTTGTTTCGCTATACTTTCCGCTTTAAAAGAGTAATATTGAAGCATAAACTGGTCTAATTGTTTTAAAAACATGCCTAAGCCACGACAAAGTATTCAAGGTAAATGTTTTTCGTCTTTGTTTTGTATTTTTTTACATTTGTAGCTACGAAATTGGCGTCCCCAATTTTAACGAAATTTGGGATGCCTTTTTCACTGTTTAGTGCTTGAAATATTTGCTAAAATTGACTGGGAATTCTTAGCGATTTAATCGTGGAATGGCGTAGTTATATTTATTTGCTCTTTGACTAAAATGTTTAGCTGTATTATTGCTAAACATGCCGTTTTTGAGAATTTGGTTTGCAACTAGGTTTCAACATCCAATCACGCCATCAGCCCATTGAAAACATTAGGTCAGAAACACTAGTTTCCTATCCATTTATTTTATTATCCA